TTTTCAAGTTTTATTATTTGACCTCTTACTTTGCTGGGTGAAGTGATTGCTGTGGTGTATTTACATGTACTGTGGTTGATTCAGCTAGAAACAACACTTGAGAGGATCAGAGCAGTTGATCGTGCTGCTGCTGTAGTGGAGGAAATGCTTAAGCAAGGTCCTGTTAACAATGGATTAAAGGTAAGTAGTATCTGCTGAGGTTTGACAGGACCTGAAGCCAGAAAATTACTGGAACGTCTGACTCTCTTATCATCAGGTTAATCATCTGCTGAGTACCTGTGTATACCTGGGCTTTGAGGCTGATCCATCAGCAAATATTACTGTGCGCATTCGTGGACCAAATGTGAGCTTTCTTAATCTAACTTTGCTCATTTCTCCTGATTTATTGAGTTATTTTGGTATGTTGCCTATTAAGGGTTAATTTCCTTACATAATTTTCAATTTATGAATTCTCGCATATTTAACTGCATAAAAATTGGATCCTTTGTTTTTTGTGATTTACTATCCATTTGCCTTATCAATTTCTTTTACCTATATGCTGTGATTTGCTGGCAAATTTAAATACCGGGAAGTTCATTCAGCTGTTACTTCTCTGTTATGGATCAGATATTGGCATCATGTATTCTCTTTATTGATCAGATTATGGTCTGAGTAATTATATGATTGTTTCTTCCAGTAGTTTGGGTGTAGTCCATTCTCTACCCTGCCTGGCTAATTATCTTATTTATCTCTTTTGGCATTATGATGCTTGATGTGCTCCTTTAAACTTTATTTTTATTGATAGAAAGCCAAGAGTTTCTAATGTTCTGAGCTCTCTCTGACATCTCCGTCCATTTGGAGAGATTTTCTTCTGTGCTGGTGGTTGGCTTTTTGTAAGTGCAGGATCAGTATATTAATCACATTATGAATGAAACTGGAGCAACTGTCTTGCTAAGAGGACGTGGTTCGGGATATTCAGATGAAGGACAGGGAGAAGGTGCCTATGTGTTGATTAAGATGCAATTATTTTCCCATGCTCCATAGCATGATAAGAATGATTATCAATAGTGTGCCACTGGCTAGATTCCTCAGCTATGAAAAAAGATTAGTTATTCCTCATAAATGTACTCTTTTAACGTGCAGATGTTCACCAACCTCTGCATTTACTCATATCAAGCAATAACAGTGCAAGTCTTGAGCGTGCGAAGCTTTTGGCAGAAAATCTTTTGGATACTATTTGTGCAGAGTGTGGTGCTTCTAGGTATGCATGTTGCTCTGAGTATATGAAATGTGATTGCAGCCTGTTAACTTTCATTCAGAAGAGGTTTTTGTGGGCTGTTATTTTGTTGTGATTCTTTTTCTTTTGTTGGGCTGTCCTGAATTCTCATATGTGTGACTGTCGATCTGCAGAGTCTCTTCTTGTAAGGTTTATGGAGCTGTTCCGCCTCCACTGCAACCGTTAGCCAGCGTTCAGGTTTCTGGAAGTGAATCAGAAGTCAATAACACACCCACAGCCAATGTAGCTGCACAGATTTTGAGCTCCTCAACTGCAGCAGCAGTTCCCGTGACTGCAGCTGCAGGTGGGACTGGTGTTGTTTCTCAGGGTACAGTACCTCAATCTCTAGGCTCACTAGATCCTGTGCCATCTCAACCTCCCACCAGTTGTTATCCTCATCAATTAGTTACAAGTAGAACAAGCTATATTGGCTATGATGGTATATATCCCCAAGCCACTGCTTTGCAGCAAGTTGCTTTGGCTCTTAGGCAATCTACTTCTCCAGTCACTTCAACAGTTCCTCCAGCAACAACGGGACCAAGCATCACTTCACAGACAAGTACAGGTTCTGAGAAGGACAAGCGCCCTGCACAGAAGCGTAAATTTCAAGAATTGCCGGCTGGTGGAAAAGGCCAAGCAACTGTAAACCAGGTATGTGCTTAGTCTCCTTGACCTATACGAAGGTATCTCCAGGCAATTGCCCTTAACTGGCTTTTGATGAGAAAATTATAATGGTCATCTCCGAGTCAAGTACATAAAGCTTCATGATTGATCAGAGACGGGGAATGAATATTGAAAGCATTTCATGTTATAATTTCTGGCATATGAACCTAAACTTGAGTATCCAGAAGTTCCTCTATTATCGCTATCTGCTTGTGGAAGTATCCAACGGGGCACTGGCTGTGCAAAAATTTTTGCTCCAAGCATCCAAGATAAGCCCATCTCTTGGATGAGAACTAAAATGTTAGATGATATCATGTAAACAAAAGAAATAAGATACAAAGGGGGAACTGTAGATATATTAGTACAGCCATTGCTACTGTTCCAACTTAATTTGGTGGAAGATTGAGTGGTACATGTATCACTAATCTGAAATCAAAAACATCTCTAATTACTTCTGTTTAGCCATTCATTGACCACCCACTATGTGGTATCTATCAGATCGACTGCTAGAGTGACAATATAACTGAAGAAAGATGTTGGTTAATGTGAGACAAGTTTCCCCTAGTGGTTGTGACTAGAGGTCACTGAAGTTGTATTGTTTCCCATTCCTCATTTGGAGGGCCTCCACCAAATCACGAAGTTCCTGTGATTTCTCCAAATTTATGCTCTGAAACAAAGCCTTCATAAACATTGGTGCTATGTGGCGTATCTATAGCCTGTGCATCTGCCTTTTTATATCTTAAGTTGTGTCCCTTAATTGCCTTTAATTGATTCTCACTGCTTGAGTGATCTTCTGCACAGGACTATGCTGTGTATATGAATTATGATAGATTCTTCACTTCACCTTCCACTATATAAATGGTATTAATAGAAGGATGAAGTACACCTTGTGTAGCATGATGACTGGCAAAATTGGGATTTATCAGATTCTCTTATTTTTGGGTCTCTTTTAAACTTAGTTTACCATTCATCCTACATCTTAGTTTCTATTAAAATAAGACTTCGTTGTCTCTCATTTTAAATTTTCATCTCATTGCTGTTGTATATGGAGCGTTTGAAATTTCTCAAATTTCTTCCCTTGAGATATTTTTCAGTTATAAAACATATACTAATTTCTGGTCTAACCTTTTCTACTTGATATTCCAGGTAATTTCTCTGACCTTGTATGAAGCTAACAGGCTGTGGAACTCTGTTGGACCTTTGTATGTTTCACAGGATTCTGGATACGGAGGAGGCATGGGGTTGCTACGTGCAATTTCAGTGTTATGGTGCCGATGCAAAGATGCCATGCCCTTCTGGTTTAGGCATTTTGTTAAATGTTAATATGCTAATATGAAATGCACATTTTTAATCAACTTTGCTTCAAGTACTAAAAGGGTAATGAGATCGAGCTCACAGTACATTCTGCCTGTGAGGCTTTCAAACTGTTTCAACTTTACTCTAGAAGATAAAATGTTTTCTATTGGTATCTGCAATATATGCATTTTCTAAACATGTTGATCTAAGCTCCTTGTAACAAGTGAGAGAAAAAAAAGTCAAGCTGCATCTTACACGATTGAGTCCAATTTATTCATGTCAACCAATAACTCTTATGATCATGCATTTATTTTGAACTTCCCTTGCCTGCTACTATACAAGTAAAAGAATGTTCTCGAAAAACTCAAAACTTTTACCTCCTTTTTTCCTGGAATTTCTAAGTTTTCTGGATGGACTCCCCCTCCCCCTTCTGGTTGACAGAATCCACTGCAGGCTACGGAGCTTCTAATGCTTCAGGAACGAATTTCAGAGAAAGGTGATACAGACAAAATTGGTATTCCGACTCCCAGAAAGTTGGTTCAGCCCTTATCCAGTTCAATGCTGCCGCCGCCACCTCCTAGAATGATGCCTCCACCGCCGCCGCCACCAAAGTTTCAATCATCCTCACAGAAAGTGCATGATAACAATATGGTTAACAAAGCACCAAGTAAAATTGTACCAGGTATTTGCCATCACTCAAGCTTTTTCAGTCTCAAGATTTCAATGAACTCTTGCTTGGTTTGTCTATTAGCGATGGCCTACCTATCCTCATTACCCCTTTTTTTCTTGCATTTCTTGTTACTAAGTGGAAGTGTGAAAATCCATTGAGTCCTATTAACATAGTAGAACTTATTTTACTTTCTATTTTTATCTTCCACTTCTTATTTTTGTATTATATCAGCATGAAATAAGCTTAAATGGGTGGAAGTTCACTGAAGATCTATACAAGAGACCCCAAGTAGCTTAGGATTGAGGCCTTGTAGTAGTAGTTGTTATCAGACATAACTTGTCTATTTCATTTTTACAGTTGAGAAATATGAGAGTGTTTGTATACTTGTTTGATTTGATTTGTGCATCTCAGATACATTAGTCCAGCTAATGGAATACGGGGATGACGACGACGACGACGATAATGATGAAGCAATTGACGGACCTTTGAAAAGTAGCTCAAGTGCGGTAGCGACTCCAAAGCCATTCTGGGCTGTTTAATAATATGACCACTGCACATCTCTGAAGATTTTGGCAACAGCTGAATGTGCATTATAAGTTGAATGGTTGTTTTCAATTGACCTGGAAGTGGCTGTGAAATATAAAATATGTACCCTTCCCCACCCCAGCAAAAAGATGTGGGGCCACCAAATGGAGGAAAAGAGGAAAGGAGAGTTCTGTAGTATTGTGCCAATCTGATAATATCAGAGTGTAAGTGATGCTCTATGTAAAATGACTCGTAGAAATTCCGCAACCTTGTATTTCCATTCAGAAGTTGTTTGCTGCTGGCTTGTAGTTTCACTCTGAACTCTTTATGAAACAAAGAAATGCCAGCAGTTTAACCTATTATTTTCTCTCAGTATCAATATGCAGTTATTCGAAACTCAGGCAATTAGCAACTTATTGAGTGTTCATCGATGTCGTCGAATGTAATGTAAGGAAGCACTTCCACTTACTAATTATGGGTTCTAGTCAGTTTAGCACACATTTTTCACGTTTCTTTCTAATTGCCTATTAAGTAAACAAATAGTGCTAATGCCAGCCCACAATCTTCATTTTAGCCACAAGGTCAAGAAAGTCATCACAAGTGCCTTCAAAGAAACAAGCGGGTAGCAAAAGATTCAGCACTGTACATTGCACAAAATCAGTACTTGGAGAGCTCCATGAACTTAAAACATTTATGAAACGAGTAGAGTGTAATCCTACAGATTGATTAAACTTAGATGAAGCATTCAACCAGTAGCAACCCTGCTGGAAATAGAATATACTTTCTTTTAACTCAACACGTATTGTGAACATGTACTCATCAAACCCAAAGTTGGTGAATAGCATATGAGGACGTATTATGAACTCCTCGAGTTGGCGTAGTCCTTTGGCTCATCATTGTCGTCGCTGCTGCTCCTTTCTACACCTGGTGTGAAATCATTGTCTACAGATTCAGTCCCTTGGTCTGCACTAAGCTGTTCTTCACCACCATTGTGCGAGGTCCCAGGGCTCCCACCAAATTCAGAGTTGTTCAAGAAGTCATTACTAGCGGAAACACCAGCGTTGTAACTTCCACTACTCCCACCACCATATCCAGCCCCAAAACTATCCCCACCATAGCTGCCACCACCTGCAGGGTAACTGTTGTTGCTACCATAGTTACCACCACCTCCATAATTCCCATATGAGTAACCTCCAGCTCCCCCACCATAGCTAAATCCACCTCCACCACCAGAACCACGCCCGAATCCTCCAGGACGCTTTTCTGTGGCATAATTCACCCTTATCCGTCTCCCGTGGAGATCCTGCAAAAGTAACGCAACAGATTTTACCCAGTACTAGTCCCAAAAGCTTTTCAAAAAAAAAAAAAATTCATTCTCAAATTATGGAAGAAAATAGCAAAATGTAATTTGTCCATAATATAAAAGAAAGGGAAAACAAGATGAAGTCCTGATGGATTTCTGACCCAATAGAACCTTATTGGTTAGCACTAGATGGAAAGACCACCCTGTCACTAAGGCTAACTAATTAATTTCTTCCAGTAATTGACAGTGGAATACGGTGAATAAAACGAAAGGAACAACATGAAATTATCACCTGATACTGGTCTCAAAAAGTTGTTCAAATATTTCATCTCGTTTAGCGGTAAGAAAGTGCCGGAAGCAATTTGATCTTGATTTTTTGAAAGGCACAATAACATGAAGTTGCAAAATTTTCATGTAATAGAACCTATTAGATGGGAACCATCATTGATGGAGTGGACTAAGATGGATAGCATCTTTAGGAAAATAACATAACTTGCCTGACACTCTTGACTACACAAAGTGATACCAAAAACAAGAAATATCACTCTTCGAGAAGAACTGACCGGTCACAAAGAAACCTGGGCATCATTACCTGGCCATCCAAGGCACTCAGGGCACTTGATGCTTCTTCAGCAGATGTATAAGTAACAAAACCAAACCCTCTGGATCTCCCACTGTCACGATCAAAAATAACTCTAGCTGCACGAGTTACACATCATTGTTTAGTTAATTTGTTTTTCTTGTTTAGGGCACATCAATTTTATAGGCTCCATGAACCACGTAATTGGAGTAAGCTGCAAAATCTTATTTTATCAGAGGTCAAAACATAAATGAAGTACCTTCAATCACTTGACCATGTTGGGAGAATGCCTCTCGCAGAGAGGTTTCATCAGTGCCATATGAGAGACCTGCAGGGGATAGTTGGCGCCATTATAGAGCAACAAAAGGAAGGAAAAAGAACATAGCAACTGCATACTACTGGGAACAAAATCCTTTTACCTCCAACAAAAAGCTTTGAAGAAGACATGCTTCTTATAGCCTGGTAAAGTGAGGTTCTAGTGGCACACAATTCCAAATTCGTGTGTCTGCTTACACTCTGTTTAAGCATATTTCCAATTCTATTGAATAAAGCCATCTTTAAACCTATGAAAAGAACAGAACAACAGGAGTCAATATTAAACATAACATGAGAATAAATGTTGGATTTAGAAGAAATCTTTGATAGTAGAATAGTTCTACCATAATGCTGGAAGGCACTAGATGACACGAAACAGCGTAAAGCAAAAGAAAAAGATGGCTCCTTTTCTCCGAGCTCATATTTCGTCTCTATTTATATAACAGTGACATTCCAAAATATGTGAAACATCCCATCAAGAAAATTACTCAATACAACTTTCACCATATCATGACTTCAAAGAATTCAAATTCATCTTGACATCAAACACATTTAAACTAACTTCCCATTTCTTTAATAGTAACTCAGTCCAATAAACATGTTCAATCAAACATAGTCATACAAAACAGCACAAAGCAAATATATACCTACTCTTCCATATTTGTCATACAACTTATGTTGCTCAGACTCTTAAAAAATGTAAACGGGTGCCTGTCGGATTCTCCAAAAGTAGTGCATTTTATAAGAACCCAACACGGGTACAACATCAAAACTGAAGAGTCCCTACAATTATAGAGCACAAGACACATACATTCCTCATCCTACAGTTCCCTCCGGCGGAAATTACCAAAAATAAACCAGCCATGAACTAATCTCCCTATTAATCAAAACCCATCAACAAAAAATACTAAAGATCCTATTTTTACAAGCAATCAGCACCCAATATGCTCACTAGTCACTACTGATCTCCAAAACAAAAAAAGATTCAATACAGAGACCGCTTCCGAAAGACCCTCAGCTCAAATGTATCACGGTACAAAAAACCAAGAAAAATGTAGCTGTAAACCCCCACGATCATATCATAACTATAACTCACAGTACTAATAATGGTATTCAAGAAACAGAATGAAAATGATCAAAACCCCAACCTTATAAAATGGAAACAATGAAACAAGTTGAAATAATAACAATCTGTATCCTAAAAATGAAAACCCTTTTAAACATTAAGCTAATCGAAAATGGATATAGTAAAAATTCAAGAAGAAACATACCTTCGAAGATTTTTTTTATTTATTTTTTCTTATACCCAGGTGAGTTCAGTCAGTAGGGTTTAAGAACTTTGTGGATATAAATATTGTAAAATATATTGGCCTTACGATTAGTAACTTGGAATGATCTGACCCGTTGGATGAAAGATTCCAATTCTTTTTTTTATTTCCATTTTTGCCCTTTGTCTAGAAACATCTAACTATGTTCTATACATTGATATTTAATTACGTGGCATTATTACGATTGGATATGTCAATTTAAAAAAGAGGAAGATTTTTTCATTTTTTTTATTTATTATTTGAGTGTTTTTTGAACTTATTTTATTTGAGGCTGAAAAATACTTAAAAGTTGTTTTAACTTAAAAAAATTGGTTGATGCAAATCAGCTCATAGTTTGAATTGTGTTTTTTTTATCATTTTAATACTATAATATTGTATAATTAAAAAGACTCTTAAAATGTGTGGTTTTTAAAACTTGAATATGTGTAGTATCTATAAAATCTGATTTAAAAAGAAGAATATATCATGTAAGTTTGAGATACCAAAATATAATTAGTTAGATTTCAGTTTCAAGTTAATTAAATTAAATTATTACATTTGTTAATACATTATTTTACTTGGACTTTGATTTATTAACGCAAAATAATCATGCGTCATATGAAACAATAATATCTTTTATCAAAAAATATGAAGCGCACACACCAAGAGCATCCAAGCTCATCTCTAATTTCTCCAAGTTCATGTTTAAATATGTAAATAATATGTTACTTAAATACGTTTAAAAATATCTCAGTTACAATTTTCTCAACCATAATTATTATAACAATTAACCATTGAGTAAAATAAATAAATATATCATTTAGACAATCAAACCACTCAACTTTATTTTATATGAATAAGATATTTTTTTAGAAAAAAGAAATCACTAAGTCAAAATTATCATAAAAATAAGGAGAAAAGTTCAAAGATAGAATTGAATTTTGACTAAAGAATCATCAAATATCATCCTTATAAATTGGATTCACCTATCACCTATCTCATTGTTGTTCAACAATATGCTATGTTTTATCAACAAAAACTATATTTAATTTTAAAATATCACTTTGTACACGTGATCAATGATGATATAATCATATCATTAATTAAATCAGTAAATAAAAACTCATCTAAATTTAAAATATTTTTTTTTTTAATAAAAGAAAAAAGTTTCACCTAAATTAAACTCACCCTACCCAATCCATGTTTGGTTTTAGTCATTATCACAGTGTTTTTTTTTAATAAAATTAAAATGATACAAAGAAAAATTACATCAACTGTTATTTAAAAAATAACGGATTATAAAAAAATCGAGAGTCCTTTCATATGATGTCTTGTTGTAAACGAACTTGGTACCATTGTAGGGAACCAACATCTCCATCAATTTCAAGTTCACAAACAGATTTTACTAAATATTCAACAGCATCATCACTATCTTCAAATCTAGCAAGGTCTGGTGGCAGTGTTTTGGCTGGCCAATTTTCTAACCAACTCTTTAACTTGTCTCTTAATTCTTCCTCAGTAACAAATTCCTCTGACTTCCCAGGTTCCATTAGTACATAAGTGTCTGTTTCTATGTTTGATCTTCTCCTTCTTGTAGCAAATGTCTGATTAATTTATTTTACACACACACAAAAAAAGAAGAAGAGACAATTAACAAAGTGAAGTGTTGCTTAACCTATATAAAATAGATGAACAGAAGTGAAGTTTTAAATAATTTTCATCGGTCACGTCACTACATAAAAATGATTGTTAACTGCAATTAATTTTTATGTAACTTTAGCGGCAATTAACACTCTTCGTATATGTCCTTAAAGTCTTTAGTGACACTGGTTCAAATGACACTTAACTGATGCTGATAAAATTTTTTTAGCATTCTTAATTAATGTTAATACTTATTGTCGCTAAATTTTTTTTTTTTTTGTGATATTGAGTTAAAGGGTGTGTTATGGAAGTTGATGGAATCTAATAATGGAATTTGGTGGTTTAATTGAATATAAAGATACTTTGTAGGTTGAAGCAATGTAATGTATGTATTTTCTCGTTTATTGACATTATGTATGCTAGAGTCCGTAGCTTAAAGGGTATAAAATATTAATAAAAATTTTAAAATGGTACATAAAATTTTATAGTAATCAAAACAGTAAAATTGTTGACTTTCCTCAGCCGAAAAAAGCAAAATCGCTGCAGTGCAGAATGTGATTTTTTTAAAAGAAAATCGCTGCCTATGCAGTGATTTCATTTTTTTAATTTTTTTAAAGCTTTCTTTTATTTAAAAAAAAATAAATTTTAAGGCAACGATTTTCTTTAAGTTTTTTTTTTAAAAAAAAATCACATTTTACAAAATCGTTGCAGTAGCAGTGATTTTACTTTTTCCGGCGGAGCAAATCGCTGTTGTTCCAGCAATTTTTTCGTTTTGGTTGATATAAAAATATACCATTTTGAAATTTTTATTAATATTTTATACCCTTTAGGCTCGGGACTCGCGTTTGTTACATCTTTACTAGAATTTTTAATTTAAATTCACTATAATATAATCAAGTTGTTGTACAAATACAACTTCAAAAGCTGTTGGGTAATTGCATTTACGAATTAGAAATTGAACTAATAATACGTGTGTAGGTTAAATATGTTTTTATTAGTGTTCTAACTATGCTCGATTGAGTTTTCTGTGAAATTGAAATATTTTTAATCCAATTAAATAACGACAAAAATATAATATGAATCAAAGTATCAACGAAAGACAAATATGGTGAACTTCGCGTAATTTACACAAAAGATACCTTTATTCCATTGCGGTGGATGTGTCTACAAGTCAGACTGTGGGAAATTGAGGAATTAAAAGGCTGAAAAATAGGTTGTTGCCAATTACTTGTATGCAAAATTTGGAGTGGATGTTGAATTCTCCATGTCTCTGTCCCTGCCATATGAAATATAAGTTACAATTACTAAAACATTTTTTTGTCCTACTTTACTTTAATTACTACAACTACAAGGTCCTTTTTCATTTTTTTGGGGATGTTCACAAAGTGAGAATCATCTCAATGAGATAACAATTCATTTCGAAATTCAAGAATATATAGGAGTGTGTCTAAATATTCAAGAAAAACGAACTTTAGATACATGTCAACTCAAAAAAACTAACCATACATAGCAAGAGATCACAATTAGTGGCATACACAAAATGTGTCGAGATTTGAAAAAGTGAAAAATTGAATACATCGATATAATAATAATAAGGGTCATTTTTCATATTATAACCTATCTTTTCATTTTACTTGTGATTTATGAATACTTAGTAAAAAAAAAAACGAAGTCAATATCTCTTACATTGCTTAGGACAAGGTATATACGTCTCCGGATTTTGAGACCCGAGACAACAACCCATTTCCAAAATCAATATGGAGATTCTAACTTGTTGCATAATACAAAGTTATTCCACTTTCAATAATAATACATAAAAAAAAAAGTCACTGTTTTTAACTAGATAAAAACAGGAAGAAGTGCCAAGGATTTCAGTGGGAAATTACCTATACAATTGTAAGTCTTATTGCACCACAACTGTGCCTCCATGAGTTGCTATTTTTGAACAATAATGACTAGTTAACAACATATCAGAATGGTTGCATTTCTTAATTTTTTTTTTTTTGATGAGATGGTAGTGGATAAGATGATGGTTTTCAGCCTCATTCTATATATATTTATCCCTGTGTTTTCCAAAATCAGTTAAGGTGTATAGGCTTGGGAAAATCTGGGCCCCAGACCCAGTATTTAATCCATATGAGACAAAAAAAAGCTACAAACTATACATCAAAATTCACAAATAGCCACTTTTCAACTCATGTAATTGAAAATGTGATGTAGTTTTAAATTTCACATTGTGAAACTCGAAACATTACGGTGGAATCTGAAACTCCATTACATCGACTATCCAAGACATACCGTGGTCAGTGCGTTATGCCGATATACGATATAAGAGAAGGATAGAGAAATTTTTGAATAATGTTGAGGGGAAGATCTGTTTATGATATAGTTCAATAAAGTGTCGTTTCATTTCCTTATTTTTTTTATAATTCTTCCACTTCTAAACTGATTCTAAGTACTGCGTGACATCATCTTCAACCAACCTTCACCATACATTGAATATGACCACTAAATTGCTTATACACTAAAAAGTTGCTTATATACGTTTCTTAAATGGAGTTTAACCTGTTGTCTCTACAACTGATGCTAAGCAGCTAATGGCTGGTTACATGAAAAACCGAAAAAATCAAATATCAAAATTGTTCTGCTTGACGAAAGTCAAGTTGAAATTGAAAGAAGAAAAGATTGTTGAAAAGAAAAGAAAGTTGTGAAAATTATAGTTGTATTCGAATAGTCATAGTTTTCTTGAAAAAGTTCAGAATAGCTCATATCTGGTGACCTACTCACTAGAATAACAGAAGTGCTGTTAAAGCTAAATCACACTTTCAACAGAATTGACAAGGGGTGTCAAATGAGCAGGTAGGGACGAATCAGATCTGTCATATTTTTATAGGCTAATTTTGCCACAGATTTTTTTTTTTTTAAAAAAATGTTTCTATTCAACTTGCCTTGCCTTCTATGACATGTAATTACTTTGGGTAAATACCGTGGTTTTCAGCTGAAACACATTAAAACTCTAAATTGCCAAGGCACGATCCAAATTGCATGTATGAAGGTGATATGCATATATGCTTGAGTGTGTAATGTGAATAAAAGAATAACAGTTTGTTGAACGTCAATAGCCCTAAAATATTACAACATATGACCTTACAACTATTAATAGCACCAAACACTTTGCAAAGAAATACAACTCCTGGCAAAATGGTGGGATGGTGTATACAAGACTTGCTCTCTTCAATCTGTTTGATCTATAATCTGACAACTGAAACTGCACCAAAAAATGAGATTTGAAGAAACTTATAATGCTCACGACGAGAGGTTGCTTCGCCCAAGATGAGAGATCCTAGTTGATGTTATTAAAGGTGCTTCCTCATCCACCATTGGATCTGAAGAGTCATTCTTTGTACTGTTTCCCCCAAGATCAGCATT